CAATATACATACACACACGCATGTGCACATCCATACATGCACACACACCATACCTCTTGGTTGCCTCTTGGACCAGGTAGAAGTTCGTCTGCTCTTTAAAGCCTTCTACCACTTGGACTCCGCCTGTATTTTCAGCCTCTTTGTGCATCCTCCCTGCCATCCTTCTATTTATTTTGTTTTTGTTCAGTATCACTATGGATGCAGGTATGCTTGTGGTCTTCCCTGTTGGAATGTCAGCGCCTTTTGCGTAGAGACTGTTTCACGCTTTGTCTGTTACCCCGGCTCCATGTTAAGAGGCAGCTGGGTGGTGCAGTGGAGAGAGTGCTGGGCCTGTACTCAGGAAGACCTAAGTTCAAATCCAGCCTCAGGTACTTACTAGCTGTGTGACCCTGGGCAAATCCCTTAACCTCTGTCTGTCTCGGTTTCCTCGTCTGTAAAATGGGAGTGATAATAGCCCTTATCTCCCAGGGTTGTTGTGAGGAGCAGATAAGACAATAATGGAGAATTGCTTCACAGTGCCTGGCACGTAGTGCTACATAAATATGGGCTACTATAATACATATATATATGACAGATATTGAACTCGTGTCTTTCTGAGCCCAGGCCCAGTGCTTTGTGTGCTGTGGCTGCCCCCGAAGCCTCGTGGGGGAGAGCATGCAGACACCTGTGTGCAAAGAAGAGAGAAACGGTGAACGGGAGATGACTGAGAGAGGGGAGGCCCCAAGATATAAATGACGTAATATATGCTAGCACATATATACAAGGTGCTGTATAAATATTGTTGCAAATAGTCTTCTATTCTTCCAGATGTCTGCTATCATCCCACCATCCATGCAGGCGAGGGTCCTGGCCACCTTTGGCTCTCCTGCCCCCCCAGGAGAGCTTAAAAACCCGACCCTTTCGTGATTGTTGGTGCTGTTTCCAACCAATCCCAGGTCATTCTGGGCTCCCCCAGGCCACGCTTTCTTGTTTATCTGTGCTCAGTTACTGGTCCTTGTTCCCTGTAGAATAACAGGTGGGGTGTGGGTGGCTGTGGCATGGAAAGAATGCTGGGCTTGGTGTCAGGATGAAGGCCAGGGCAGGGCTCCAGTCCGGCAGTGTGACCCTGGGCAAGTTCCTTAGCCTCCATTTCCTCTTCTATAAAATGGGTCTAGTCGTACCCGCAGGACTTACATCACAGCTTGTGTCCGTGAAGTGCTATGAACTCCTTCGGGTGCCATGTTAATGCCAGCCACCATTATTTCACCTTCTCCAAAGGGTTATTTTACAGGGAGATGAGCTCCCCGTGGGGCCATGTTGGCCTCTTCTTTCAGCTCCCTCTTTCATGGCTGCACTGGAGTCATTTCTTCTGGGGTCTTTGGAATTTTATTCTCAGGACCTTCCCAGGCCTGTGGGACTGGCTTCTCCCATTGGATCCTTCCCGCCCTTTTTCAATATCCATTCTGCTTTCCAAAAACCAAACTGAGGTGGGGGAGGGCACCTTGATTCAATAGAAAGAGCCAGCAAGACCCCCAGGAACGTGCCTGTGATGACTGTGACGTGTGTGTGTGTGTGGTCAGAGCCCAGGCCAAGGAGAGACGGCTGGTCTTCTGTGATCGCCTTCTCTGGTTGGGTTGCTAGGACGAGTGAGAAGCCAGACCCACAGTCTTAGATAGGGCTGCCATGTCAAGAGCCCATCCTTGGGACCCAGGCTCCTGGACTCAGAGTAGGCCCAGAATCCGAGCACCAAAGGAGATGCCTCACATCCGTTGAAAGCGACTCAGCTGTCGTCATTTGTCCCATCCTGTGCACACAGATGCAGCTGGTGTGACCAGCCAGTGACTGGTCGGCTTGGGTCTCACAGCCCAGGAAAGTGAAAGAAAGATATTTTTTGTGTGAGACGCAGAGTCGGAAGATGGAGCTGTGTGTGCGAGGGGGAGCAGCCAGAAGGCCAGAGTCACTGACTTGTGGAGTCTGGTGGAGAGGGGGGACTGACAGATCAGAAGGGAGGGAAGGACAAGAGGCAGCCAGGTTAGGAAGGCGTCGATGCCGCGTCCTGGGCAAAGCTCCCTGTGACTGCTGGTGCTTCTTGGTTTTATACCTCACTTGAAATACAGATCATATCTGTGCCTCAAAAAGGGGCCATTTAATAAGTGATACGTGCTAGAAAAACCACCGCTGCGAGACTCAGATGACACCCCTTCTGCTTGGGAGAGGCTGCAGGCCCCCCGTCTAGACTGGGGTCCCCACCTGCTGCTTCGACAATTCACTAGCATTTCCTTCAATCCAGCAGTTGTTTTTAAAATACATTTCTATTTCAATAATTATTTCCCCATTACATTAAAAAAATTTTAACATTGATTTTTTTAAAATTTTGAGTTCCAAATTCCCTCCCTTCCCCACCCTTTGAGAAGGCAAGCAGTATGTTATCAATTATACATGTGAAGCGACACAGAAAGTATTTCCATATTAGCAATATTGCAAAAGAAAACATACGCACAAGAAGAAATAGAGTGAAAAAAATTATGCTTCAATCTCCAGCAGTTTGTGTGTGTGTGTGTGTGTGTGTGTGTGTATTTGTTTGGCTTTTTTTTTCTTTTTTGGTGAGGCAGGTGGGGTTAAGTGACTTGCCCAGGGTCACACAGCCAGTAAGTGTCAAGTGTCTGAAGCCAAATTTGAACTCAGGCCCTCCTGACTCCAAGGCCGGAGCTGTATTCACTGTGCCACCTAGCTGCCCCCTTCAGCAGTTATTTTTTAAAGCACCGACTGTGTGCAAGGCCTTGAGCTGGGATGTGGGCATATAAAGTCAGAATCTCTTACCAAGGGGATGCTCAACTTATACCATGACTGAGGAGGGAGGAATCAGGGTGATTGTAGGAGGTGGCCCCTGTGCTGAGGGGAGATAAAGTGCCCGACACCAGAGATGTTGAGGCACAATCAGCAATACTTGGCACTTGCTTGGGTAGGAGGGCATCAGGGAGAGAACTGAGTATGGTCTTGGCCAGATTATTTCCCCTCTCTTCCCCTCAGCCTCCTCCTCTGAAATGAGAAGGCTGAACCAGGCCATTTCCAAGCAGGTTTAAATTCTACAACCATCAGGCAAGTAGACTGGTACAAGTCCTTCTTTTGGTTGAGAAATTCCTCACCGTGAGTATTAATGTTCTCACGTTCCCAGCTCTCACATTTCAGAAAGACTTCAATGAGATTTCTCTCTGTTGATGCCTCTGCAGAAATGTGTATGTATGTGTGTGTCTGAGTATGCTTGTGAGTGTGTGTGTGTGTGCAGGCACGAGCCACCAATCTGCTAACCTCTCCTCTCTCATTCTTCTAGGAGAAATGCCATCAGTACTGGCCGGACCAGGGATGCTGGATGTATGGAAACATCCGGGTCTCTGTGGAAGACTGCATCGTTCTGGTGGACTACACAATTCGGAAGTTTTGTATACAGTCGGTGAGTGCCGTCTGCAGCTGGGCCTCTCCTGGGCTGGCTCTGGGATGGAAGGAAGCATCAACGCCAAGAATTTCCTCCATCAAAACCTAGGATCTGGGGCTGTTTAGGACAAACTCTCACCCTCAGAGTGAATCATCAGAGGCCGAAGCCTGTCCTGTTCTTGTGTCTGCTTTTCCTTCTCCTTCTGTCTCCTGCCTCCCTCCCTACCAAGTTCTCTCCCTGCTTCTTCTGGCCCGTCATTGGTGGGGAATCCAGGTCACCAGGCTCTTCAGTATTGCTCAGAACAGGAACAAGTGAGCCTGAGGGCTTTTCTAGGAGCAAAATGTCTCTGGCCATTCTTGCCAAGTGTCCCTGGGCCTCAGTTTCCTCATCTAGAAAAGAGGGCATCTGCTGAGGGCTCTTTTGGCTCCAAACTCAGGATGCTAGCACAAGGAACAGATGTGACAGGCCACCCTCTTGAGTCCCGCATCCAGTGGGAAATTTGATCCAGGCATAATCAATCATTGAGTCAACGAGCGTTTCTTCAGTGCCTTGTGTGTACCAGGCACTAGGGATCGTGACGATAGCTGTTACTTACGGGGTGCTGTACAGTTGGCCAAGTGCTTTAATTGCATCATTTTAATTGAGTGTTGCAACAATCCTGTGGGGTGGGCACCAAAGGTGTTATTATTCCCATTTTACACATGAGAAACCTGAGGCTCAAACAAATCAAGGGACTTTGAACCCTGGACACACACCTAATAAGTGTCCATGGGAGCTGAACCTGTATCTTCCTGCCTGGAGTGCTTTGAGTGAGATAGGGATTCCCTTGGGGGCAGCACTAAGGGGAAGCGGGCAGAATTTCCAGCTGCCTGCGAGTGCCAGGGTCGCTGCTGCCACCTGCCAGGCTCACCCTCGGTTTCCATGTCTTCTCAGCAACTCCATGATGGCTGCAAAGCCCCACGGCTGGTGACCCAGCTCCACTTCACCAGCTGGCCCGACTTCGGGGTGCCCTTCACCCCCATTGGGATGCTGAAGTTTCCGAAAAAAGTGAAGACCCTGAATCCTTCCCACGCAGGGCCCATCACTATTCACTGCAGGTATGTCCCGAGGCTCAGAACCCTCAGCCACTGGGCTGTTGGCATCAGGTGTGGAGGACGTTCCTGCCCCATCAGCTCTTTTACAAAAATAATGCCAGGACAGACACGGAGCCCCAGAGGTCATTTCCAAAATGGAATTTGTATTTGTTAAAAGCTGATGCAGAGGCTCATAGTGCCTTAGAACTTGAAGGAACCTTGGAGGTCATTTAGGACACACTCCTTTTTACAAATGAGGAAACTGAGGCCAGCATGGCTTGCCGAAAATCAGATGGCTAAAAGGTGGCAGAGCTGGGACCTGGAGGAAAGCCCTCTGTAAGCTTTAGGGTGCTGTGGAAATAGGAGTTTGTAGCATCATCTTCATTATGGAATCACACCCATATTTCTATCATAGTAGGAATTTGGTAATACTCCTTTTCCTCTTTTTGCCAATAGTTTATATATTAATGTTCTTTAGTATGTATATTTATATTGTGTTTATAACATATTTATTTATATGTGTTTATAACATAATGTTCTTTAAATTATAATGCATGTTTTTTTCCCTTTGAGAGTAAACTTATGGAGTGTTTCATTTTCTGTAAGATTGGGTTAAGTCCTCTATTTCCTGCTCGGTTCATCTGGGCTTTTATATTTCAGTAAATGTTTATCCATCAGTTAAATTGTCAATTTTGTTGGCATAAAATCTGGTGAAATAAGTTCTAACAATTTTATTTATTTCTTCTTTGTTAGTTGTGAATTCAGCTTTTTCAGTTTTGTTTCTGATCATTTGGTTCTCTTCTTTCTTTTCTGAGATCAAATTAGCTAATGATTTCTCAACTTTTATTTTAAAAAATAGTTCTTGGTTTCACTTGTTAATTTAGGCTTTTTGCTCTTATTATTAATTTCTTCTTTGACTTTCAGTATTTCTATTGCAGTGTTTAATTGGGTTTTAAAATTCTGTGGGCTTTCTGATGCTTTCATTTGCATTGACCTAATGGTTGATTGGCTCTTTCTCTCTTTATTGATTTAAGTAAAGCTATAGAGGAGGTGAGGTGGGGCAGTCGATAGAGTGCTGGCTATGGAGTCAAGAAGACCTGAATTTCAGGTTTCAGACCCTATGACCATGTCACTTAGTTTCCTTAACTGTAAAAATGGAGGTAATAGCATCTATCCTACAGGGTTGTTGTAAAAATCAAATGAGATTATGTTTGTAAAGTACTCAGCACAATGCCTGGCATGTAGTAGATACTTAATAAATGCTTGTTCCGTTATCAATTTTTTTTAAACCCGAAAAAGATGTTAGAGGGACTTCAGTCCTATCCCCTCATTTACATCTGAGCAAACTGAGGCTTAGAGAGATGAGATGGCTTCCCCATATTCCCCCAGACAGTAAAGCTTAGAGGTGCAATTCAAACCCAGCTGTCCTAACTCTCAGTCCAAAGCTCCAGTCTCCCAAATACCACAGTGCTAATCAATACCATTCATGACATCCTGGAATACCTGTGATCTTCTTTAATAATTAAATTCTTGCCTTTTGGCTGCAGAATAAGCCAGGGATGGCCTGGGGTAATGGAAAGGCCATAGCCAGGAGAAACCTGGGCTGAACTCCAGCCTCTGACATTTAATGGCTGTGTGACCTTGGCCAAGTCAGTCCCTCTCTGAGCCTCATCTGGAAAAGGGGGATAATGTTAGCACCTACCTCTTAGGGCTGTTCTGAGGCTCCAGTGAGATGACATGGGTGGGTTCTACAAAGATGTCAGCTGTTGTAGCCTCCTTCCCTGCCTTCCCCGAGTCTACCCCCATGCCCCATTTTAACGAACAATTAAGCATTCCGTCTTAATGGCAACTTCCTGTAAAAAGCTGTGCCCTGGTTGGCAGGGAAGCTCCGGAGGGGAAATCTGTGATCGTGTCTCTGCCGAAATGGGAGAGACAAGGTGAATGTCCCGTATTCCAGGATTCTTTTTCCTGGGGATGAGCCAGTAAGGCTGCTGGTCACTATTCTCAGCTTTTTGTCCTGAGATGATTTTAAAAGGCTGGTTTGGGGACCTCAGCTCTGTTTCTCATGTCTCATTGCTATATAGCATGAGCAGTCAAGCCAAGGGACCATGTTAATAGGAGGACTCAGATCCTTGCTGATTTATAAATTGGGTTTCAGCTGGACTCAGGCAGTGGATATAAAGCATTTCATAAATTTTAATGTCCCACATAAGTCTAAGCTATTACTCCGATTGTTGTAATAAATGTAATGTATTGAATAATGACCACCTCTCTCCCTTTCATATGCCACCTTGAATTCCTAGAATGTGGGTCCCCCTCATGTCTGCCTCTTAGATCCCCAATTTCCTTCAAAGCCCAATGCACATGCTGGGTCCTACACAAGAGCCTTTCCTGACTGGCCCAGGTGCTGCTGCCTCAGGTGCCCTTTCCTACTCTCATGGCCTCAGGCCTCTCCCACTTCCCGCCTACCTGTTGTAAAACTTCTCTTCCATCAGGGCTCAATCAGGTATAAGGAGCCTGCCTGCCAGCCCCATCACCCCTAGCTGGGCTTGTTTCCTCTCTCCTCAAATATTCCTAGGGGCGGAGCACCAGTCCTGGAGTCAGGAGAATCTGAGTTCAAATCCAGCCTTAGGCATTTGACATTTAGTAGCTATGTGACCCTGGGCAAGTCACTTAGCCCCGATTGCCTTGCCAAAAAAAAAAAAAAATGTGACTTTATCCTCAAATATTCCTCCTCTTGCTAACCTTTTAATTAAAAAAAAAACCTGCCTAAACTCCTCCTGTATGCCAGGCACTCTGCTAGGGACTGGAGATAGAAAGACAAAACTGGGATGGTTCCTGTCGTCAAGGACCTTATATTTTATTGGGGGGAAAAACCCATGGCCCAGAGATGTGAATATACAAGGTACTGGTAAAAGAATTGGGGGCAGGGGCCCTAGCAAGTGGGGGAGTCAGGAAGGGCCTTGTGTAGAACCCGACGTGCACTGAGCTTTAAAGTAAATTCAGAATCTAAGAGGTGAAGATGAGGAGGTGAGCATTCTGGCATGAGGAAGCAGCTGTGCGAAAGCAGGAAACTGGAAGGTTATTTGTGCAGGAGAGGAAGTGTAGAGTGTGTGAAGGAGAATGTGTGATAACCCAAGAAAGGAGTCCAAAGCCCAGTTGTGAAGAATTTGATCACAGAGGCAATGGGCAGTCAGAGCAAGAGAGTGAAGTGTTCTGAGTTGGGCTTTAGGAAGATCGATAGGATGTCAGTCTTGTGGAGGATGGACTGAAGTGGGGAGAAGTTGGAGCCCCCAGCCTATTGCCATAGTCCAGATGTAAGGTGATGAGCACCAGTAGGAGGGTGGGGACAGTGTCAGAGGAGAGAAGGGGGAGTAGTCAAAAGATGCTGCAGAGGTGAAATCAACCAAAGATGCTACAGAAGTGAAATCAGCCAGAGATGCTGCAGAGGGGAAATCTACCAGAGATTCTGCAGAGTTGAAATCTACAAGAGATGCTGCACAGGTGAAATCAACCACAGATGCTGCTGCAGAGGTGAAATCAACCAGAGATGCTACAGAAGTGA